CAGTGTTTTTGTTTAGTTTTTGCAAAATCTCTGTTCTTGGTTGTTCAGAAAGTGGGCAAGCCAGTGTTTGATTTTCCCAAGTCACGGATCTGATTATGTTGATCCTTTGCTCAAACACCTGCAATGTGATTGGTGCTTAGAGATTAAAAAAGAGAGCTCGTTCCTGTGTCCTCTGAGGATCTGACCCCAGCCTTCCCAGCCAACCCTTTCACATACTGCAATCTAGCTCTCTGGAGACTTGTTTTCTCCCCCCCAGCACCTTTGCTTTCCTGCCTCCATGCCGGTGCCTGTGCTGTTCCCTATGCCTAGAATCTCTTCCCCCAACCCAGCCTCTTCGTCCCCTTTTTTCTCACCACCTGCCTGCCTTCATGAGGCCTTCCTTGGTCTCCCCACCTCCCAAACCAGAAGTATTATCTCCTCTTTCTCAACTTCAAAGTGGGAGAGAAAATGTCTCTTAACCAGAATTCTATGTTCAGCCAAATTTCAAGCAAAAGTGAGTGATAGATGTTTACAGATCGACAAAGACTGAATGACTTTGCCACTCGTAGACTTTCTCTGAATGAAAAGATGCATTCCTAATTTTGCAGTCATGGACCCGTGTTGCCAGCTTGAGATAAACAATGGTATTTATACCATGGAAGTCAGCAAATGCTACAAAATAGTACTCGTTTTTTTTTTTTTCCCATGTGAAAGTGGATTGGTGACCCTGCTTCCATGTATATAGGTGTGTATGTTACCATTCACACACATGTACACACAAATATTTGACACACTACGAATGTTGAACAGCACAGTTAAAACTACACTGTAGTTCAGCAGTCCTTCCTCATTAGGCTACTGGGGAAACCCCTGTGGCTAGGAAGTGTGTTTCTCTTCACACTCTGGTCCCACCCTCCCCTCTTCTCAGGTGTTGGAATCATGTCACCTATGCCCCCACCCCTGCATTTGTTTCTCTGACCCTGGCAAACTTGGTCACTTCCTGGAATCAGAGCTAATACACTAATTGAAGATTCTGTGCATCTGCAGTTGCTCAAAGTTCATTCTTTGAAGTAGAGAATCTTGGCGTGGCTACACAGATGTCGGTAAATGATCTCCTGTTTCTGTTCATAATTGCTGTTTTATAAATTGGTGAAATGCAGGCGCTTAGATGGCTGTGTCAGAAGCAGAACTCTGCAAACTGCCGTCTGTGAATATACCTGCTACGGGTGTTTTCTGCTGCTCACTACCTAGTGCCAGCCCTCAGAGTCAGCAAGAACAAGTTCCAGTGTTCTTTTGGGACAGTTGACCTCTTTGGGACACAGAAGCCAAGGCCAGATGACTTGGAGCACAGACCAAGAAGGAAAAGGCAAACAAACAGACACGAAGCAAAGTGTGGGTCAGGACTAGAGGAGCTGGTAAACTGAGGCACCCACACCGGTAGTGGAGGTAGAGTGACAGCACGTGGGAGGGAGCACAGTGAAGTGGGGCTGGGAGGAGAGAGGCAAGGAATGGTAGAGATGCGAGAGGCAGGGGTTTGGAGAAGGTCCCTAGGCAGCAACTTTACAGCCCCTGTTCCCGGCTCTGCTGTCCTCCCACGAGCTCACAGCTCACCTTTCTGCTGGGCTGGGTCAGACGGGAGTTAGAATGTTGGATGGCAGGCAGAGAACTGTTGTGGCTATGAGAGAAAGTTGTAGGGTCTTTCCTGCCTTTAGGAAGAAAAATGATACATCTTCTAGCTTGAGAGTTGCTTTTAAAACGCCATGCTGTGACTCCATGGCCGTTGCCTGTCTGCCGCTAGGATTATAGGTGTGAATGTGCCCGGCACAATGCCTGGGTCAGAGGGACTTAAGGAATGTTCACGGTCATCAGATATTCTCCTGGCAGAGTCGAAAATCGCCTGCCCTCCCTGCCAGCCTACCATATAAGGTTAGCTGTACCAACACTTCATGCACATATTGATTATTTAGAAAAGTAGAAAAAAGTATACAGGCAGCAGGGCACAGTGGCTCACTCCTGTAATCCCAGCACTTCGGGAGGCCGAGGCGGGCAGATCACCTGAGGTCAGGAGTTTGAAACCACCCTGGCCAACATGGCGAAACCCAATCTCTACTAAAAATACAAAAATTAGCTGGAAGTGTTGGTGGGCACCTGTAATCCCAGCTGCTCGGGAGGCTGAGGCAGGAGAATCGCCTGAACCCAGGAAGTGGAGGTTGCAGTGAGCCAAGAAGGCGCCCTTGCACTCCAGCCTGGGCGACAGAGTAAAACTCTGTCCAAAAAAAAAAAGAAAATGAAAAAAGAAAAGGAAAGAAAGAAAGGAAAGAGAGAGAGAGAGAGGAAGGGAGGAAGGGAGGAAGGGAGGGAGGGAGACAGGCAATGTATTGGTTAGGGGTGAATTATTATTTTTTGTACAGCCTATGCCCTTCTTGCAGGAGTCCTTCCTTATCTCTTGGCCTTCTAATGTGAATCACTTTTTATTTTATTCCTTTTAAACTTTTATTTATGATTTCATTCATTACTTTCTTTTCTGCCACTGGATGACTCCTTTAGGAGCCTAATTTTGCTGGCGAAATCATTCACAGGTAGGCTTGTTGGAGGGCCTTCTGTGTGTGGTGGAGGCAGTGAACTGACGAGAGATCACAGGGCAAGTGAAAAGATACCCTGGCTTATCAAATGTATCTTAGCGTACTAAATTGGATTCACTATTTTTTTTTCCCCCGGAGTCTCACTGTGCTGCCCAGGCTGAAGTGCAGTGGTGTGATCTTGGATCACTGCAGCCTCCACCTCCCAAGTTCAAGCCATTCTCCTGCCTCAGCCTCTCAAGTAGCTGGAATTACAGGCACCCACCGCCACGCCTGGCTAATTTTTGTATTTTGAGTAGAGACAGGGTTTCACCATGTTGGCCAGGCTGGTCTCAAACTCCTGGCCTCAAGGGATCCACCTGCCTCGGCCTCCCAAAGTGCTGGGATTATAGGCATGAGCCACCATGCCCAGCTGGTTTCCCTTTTTAATCATTAACTTTTTTTTTTTTTTTGAGATGGAGTTTTGCTCTTATTGCCCAGGCTGGAGTGCAATGGCATGATCTTGGCTCACCGCGACCTCTGCCTCCCAGGTTCAAGTGATTCTCCTGCCTCAGCCTCCCAAGTAGCTGGGATTACAGGCGCCTGCCACCGTGCCCAGCTAATTTTTTGTATTTTTAATAGAGACTGGGTTTCACCATGTTGGCTAGGCTGGAATTGAACTCCTGACTTCAGGTGATCTGCCTGCCTCGGCCTCCCAAAGTGCTGGGATTACATTAGTTTTTTAATCTGGGTTCTGGCAGTTGTGCTGCTTTGGAAGGAGGGTGTTTACTTCAATAACAAAAACTGGCTTGGGAGTGGAGCTGGGCGAAGGGCTGGCAACCCAGCGACGCAGGATGCCCTGGGGCTGGCCCTCTTCTAGTGGAGTTGCTCTTGGGGCTGTGCACATAGGCTACTGGTGTCAGCACCCACACATTCCAGGGTACTGACTGACTTAGACAAAAGAAGAGTAAGAGAAGTTGACACTCAACATGAGCCTGTCGCTTTGACCTGAGCACAGCAGTGAAACACTGAAGGAACTTGTCCACAGGCTCAGGGACTCAAAGCCTCCAGCTGGTTTTCATTGTGCCAGGCCTGCTGAGTGGACCCATGGTTGAGGAGGCTGTCTCCCCCAAGGGGAGCAGGACAGGCAGCCTTGCCCTCCTGAGAACCCTCCATGGAAGGCCAGGAGCCTATGAGCAGTCATTAGAGGGCTCTTTGAGTTTGCTGCTGGCTGGTTTGGTGAGAGGCCCAAGCGCCTTGCATCAGTTCTTTACACTGCCGTGTTGGGGTGGGGTAAGAGAATCAGCCCTACAGAGGAAAAGAAGACTGACTGCTGCTTTGGAGAGTGTTCATAGCGTCAGCACCAAGAATTAAACTTGGGGAAAGGGGAAGAAAGGAGAAAGGGAAATTATTGTAGTCTTGCGAAGTATAGTGTAAAGAAAGTTTGCTTTTCTTGTTTGTTTTTTGTAATTGAAAAGCCTCCCATGGCCCTTGGGTCACTGCAAGTGTCTCTAGTTGTGTAAACGCTGCTGCGTGCTGAGGGCACTTCTTCAGACTGACACGGGGCCAGTACAGAGTGTGGCATGCAGGATAAGCTTCCAATAGTGGCAAATGACCACAATCTCTTAGAGAAAAACAAAATTGGATCCATGGAGGTGAGGTCAAGACCTTCAACCAAATTAGTCTAGAAACAGTCATTTTTAGAAATCCCAATAAAGTAATTAAAAATAAAGACAAATATTTGCTTTATGCTTGCTTCCATCTAACCGCTCGCCAAAGGCAGCCAGATGGTGTTGGCCAGTGAACACCGAAGAGCCCTATGCTCACTCCTGGAGTCATGGGGCAGAGACAAGCCTCTTGTGGTCATCATGGTGTGGTGTTGCTCAGTTTATTTATGGAAATACAACTGAGATGAATAATTTATCCATGGTAAATGTGAGTAAGACTAAGCTGTTTGCCCCTCATAGTAAAACATGAAGATAAGAAAAAAAGGATCTAAATATAGGAAAGGCTCCTAAACCATAGATGTGATTAGCCTCGAGATTTGAGAGAAATTTTTATTCTCTTTTGAAATGTCAGAATAATAATGGTCTTAGCATGATGCCCAGCACATAGTAGGTGCTCAGTAAATAATTATTGAATTGTTTCCTTCCATAAGATAGTACATGCTTATTATAAAAATCCAGGCACTTCTAGTAAAAATAACTCAAAGTCCAACCACTTAGCATTTGGGGATGTATCCTCAAAGACATTTCCAATGCGTATAAATGTATACTTTATTTTTTTATACAAAAACAGGGCTGTGCTATATACATCATGCTTTGGAACCTATCTTCAGTTCAGTAAGCCGGATTCTTCAATTTAGTGCACACAGTGGCATAATGCAATGCATTGCGTAAGAAAGGATGTATCCATTTGTGTAGTTTAAGACTTGACACTTCTCTTCTGCTGTCCTTTATTTAGCAGGTGTCTTCTGCGGAGGTGCGCATCGGGCCCATGAGACTGACGCAGGACCCTATTCAGGTACGCCTCTTTTACTCAGCCCCATAACTCAGATTGTTTTCTGTTTTGTTTGTTTGTTTGTTTGTTTTTTGCCATAGAGCCTCTTTCTGTTGCCCAGGTTGGAGTGTAGTGGCTCCATCTCGGCTCGCTGCAACCTTTGCCTCCTGGGTTCAAGCGATTCTCCTACCTCAGCCACCCAAGTAGCTGGGATTATAGGCGTGCGCCACCATACCTGCCTAATTTTTTGTATTTTTAATAGAGATGGGGTTTCACCATGTTGGCCAGGCTGGTCTCAAACTCCTGACCTCAGGTGACCTGCCTGCCTGGGCCTCCCAAAGTGCTGGGATCGCAGGTGTGAACCACTGTGCCCGGCCTGACTCAAATTGTTTTCTTGAAGACCTAAACGTTTCCCCATTTTGAGTATAAATATAATGGATAGATTGCATGGTGGATTGTGAGAAAGAACTACTCTTACCCCAAAACTAGTCTGCTCCACATCCTGCTGCAGCCAGAAAGGGAAGAAGCAATGAAATGGTAAAGGGCTGGGCTTTGTCATGAGTCACAACTGGGTGGGAATCTTGGCTCTGCCATTAATCAGCTGTGTGACCTTGCATATATTGCTTCACTCCTCTTACCCAGTGTCCTGTCTGCAAAATGGAGATGATTATGCCTCAGGGAATTATAAGTTAAATGAGATAGCATAGGATGCCTAGAACTTTATCTGGCAGTTATCATTAATTAAGAAGATGGTTGATAAATGATAGCTGTTGCTGTTGTGTGGGAATAGAAGATGATAAAATGCTCCCCTACATCTTCCATGTGACTTAAGCCAAGCAGCCTACTGGGCTCTGTAACACAGCAAGAACTGGTGTCCAAGGACACAAGGCCCAGCCACCTGTAGGATTGACTTCACTCTAATCATGGCAGCAACTGTGTCCTCCTTGCAGCCCTTCCAAGTTCCTGTGCCCCCTTGAGAGAAACATGTATGAAAAGGGAGTTTGTACCCTTTTAAATAATTTCTAAATCCTTATCTGCATATAAGCCATCCCATTAGGCCTAAATAAGTTAGCTTCCTCCTTGTAAAAACTGTAGCTTATTAGCACCTGGAATCTTGTCCCATACTTGGGACAAGTAAAGATGCAGAAAAGATGTAAACAAGTCAACCAACATATAGATGAAAGTGAAAAACCAAGCAAGGAAATGTGCTATTTGATTTATGAGCAAATGGAAAAAGAAAATAATGTTTTATAGTTGCTTGGTAAAAGAAATGCAAATCTAGGGAAAGGAGGAAAAAAAAGGAAGAGATTTAGCTTGGGAAAATTTGATGAAAACAAATTTAGGAGCAGAGAGAGAGAGAAAAATAAACACCAGCCACAACTATTTGTATAGAATACAAACAAATGGAAAATTTCAGTAATCATTCTGAGCCATGTCCTTTGTACTCCAATTTTGAATAAAGGCAATAACAAATAAAGGAGTTGATGTCAAGGACTTATTCCCAAAGCAATTTCCAGAATACTGTTTGGGATTAGTATGGTTTTAGATCAATTTCGTTTACCTTCATTTTTGTCCTATGCTACACTGGCAATGAATGCTCATAAGGATATCTCATTCTTTTAAAAATGTAAGTTGTTAAATGTTAAAATATTTCAAATATTCATAAAGGTGCATGTGTGTACCAACACCCACTTCTATCATATATTAATGGTATGTCTTATTTGTTTCAGAAACAGAAGATTGTAGATACTGTTTAAGCCTTTTATTTATCCCTTTGCTGCCCCTTTCTTTCCTCTCTGAAAGCAACCACTATGATAAATATTTGTATACTCACTCTTTGTATGTATGTGTCCATTCATAATATGTACACTTGTTATGAATTCTTTTTAGCTCTCTTTGAAAGGTGTTGTGCTGTAAGCATCATTCTTCATTCATCAGTTGGTGTCGTATCTAAAAATTCATTGCCTAATCTAAGATTGTAAACATTTACATCTTTATTTTCTTCTAAGAGTTTTATAGTTTTAGATCTTACATTTAGCTCTATGGTCCATTTTGGGTTAATTTTTGTTTATGGTGTGAGGTAGGGGGTCCAGCTTTATTTTTATCTAGTTGTCCTAGCAGCATTTGTTTAAAAATACTCTTCTTTCCCCTGTTGACTTGTCTTGGCATCTTTGTCAGAAATCAGTCATAAATGTGAGGATTTACCTTTGGACTCTCAATTCTATTCCATTGATTTATATGTCTGTCCTTATCCAGTACCACACTGTCTTGATTACTGTAACTTTGTAGTAAGTTTTGAAGTTGTGAAGTATGACTCCTCCAACTTTAGTCTCATTTTTCAAGATTATTTTGGCTATCTGGGTCTCTTGCATCTTTGTATGAATTTTAGGACCATTTTGTCAATTTCAGTGGGGGCTTCGGAGAGCCAGCTGGAATTTGATAGGGATTGCAATGAATCTATAGACCAATTTCAGGAGTATTACCGTGTTAACAATTTTGTTTTCCAGTCTGTGACCATGAAATATCTTTCTATTTCGCAGGATCTTATATCCTGCAACCTTGCTGAACTCATGTATTAGTTTTTTGTGAATATAGAAATTCCTATAATCCTCAGGATTATGTATTATAGGTTTAAATTCCTATAATCCTAAGGAAAGCCTAATGAATTCCCATAGAAATTCCTTAGGATTTTCTGTGTACAAGATCATGTCACAATCTAGATGCTTTTTTTTTTCTTCTGTTGCCTAATTGCCCTGGCTAAAACCTCCAGAACAATGGTGTGTTTAGCTTTTTAAGATACTTCTAGACCTCTTCCCAAAGTACCATTTTATACTCATACCAGCAATATGAGATTTCTGGTTACTCTAAATTCTTGATAATATTTGATGTTGTGAGTCTTTTAAATTTTAGCTACTCTAGTGAATGAGTAGTATTATCTTATCATGATTTAAATTTGCATTTCTCCATGACTAATGATGAGCACTTTTTTATTTGTTTATTAGCCATTCCTCTATTTTCTTTTGTGAAGTGTTTGGTCAAGTCTTCTCCTCATTTTTTAATTGGGAAACTTACTGAGTTGTATGAGTTCTTTATATATTATTGTTACGACTCCTTTGTCAGATTTTGAGAACATTTTCTCCCAATCCATGGCTCTTTTATTCATTTTCATAACTCTGGCTTTTGAACAATAATTTTTCATTTTGAAGAAATCTATCACTTTTTAAAAAATGGTTGTTGCTTTCTGTGGTTTAAGAATCTTTATCTACTCCCAGGTCAAGAAGCTAATTTCCTGTTTTCCTCTAGAGACTTTATTGTTTTAACTTTTAATTTTAAATCTATAATGTATCTCAAGTTAATTTTTGTGTACAGTGTGATATGCGTGTCAAGGCTGATCCCCCCACCCCACCATATTGATGTCTGGTTGTTTCCAGCTCTACTTATTACAAAGACTATTCTTCCCCATTGAATTGCTTTGATGCCTTTGCTACTGATTTTTTTAATATTTGTTGCAGCTTGTTTGGTGGCCAGGTATATAGTCAGTTTTTAGATTAATACTCCACAAAAAGCGATAAAAAGATGTATTCTCTATTTGTTGGACAGAGGGTCCTATTTACATGAATTATTTCAACTTCATTAATCGTGCTATTCAAACTATCTCTATTAATTTTTGACTTAAATTTTGTGACTGTGTGATCTATCAGTTTCTAATTACAGTGGATTTGTTGAAATCATCAGTATCTGCTAATATTTGCTGGTATTTTGAGTCTGTGTTGTTAAGTGTATCCAAGTTCTTGATTGTTGTATATTCTTGATGACTGTCCCTTTTATCATTTTGTAGTGTCCTTCTTTAACCTTTTCCCTTATATTCTGTTTTATCTATTTATAATATTGCCAGGCCTGCTACCTTTGGTTAACATTTTCCTAGTATATCTTTTTCTGGTTTTGTTTTGTTTTGTTTTTTCAGAAACAAAAGACTGCAGATACTTTATAACTTTATTTTGAGTAGCCTCTTTTAAGCAGTATGTCGGGGGTTTTTTCAATAAAAGTATGGGAGCTGGCCCAGAGCAGTGGCTCACGTCTGTAATCCCAGCACTTTGGGAGGCTGAGGCGGGCGGATCACGAGGTCAGGAGATCCAGACTATCCTGGCTAACACGGTGAAACCCCATCTCTACTAAAAATACAAAAAATTAGGCGGGCGTAGTGGCAGGTGCCTGTAGTCCCAGCTACTCTGGAGGCTGAGGCAGGAGAATGGTGTGAACCCGGGAGGCAAAGCTTGCAGTGAGCCGAGATCGCACCACTGCACTCCAGCCTGGGTGACAGAGCGAGACTCTGCCTCAAAAAAAAAAAAAAAAAAAAAAATTGGGAGCTAAAATCTGTTTCTATAATGTTTGTCTTTTAATAGGTGAGTTAAATCTGATTACACTAAGTGTGAATACTGATACAGTTGTTTTATTTTGTATTTTCTATTTATTAATCTTTTCCTTTTCTTGTTTCTTGTTTCTGCTTATTAAGTTGGGTATGTTTTTGAAGCTACATTTTCTTTTCTCTAATATAGGTATACTGCTATTCTTTTAGTGGTTACCCTGAAATTATTATTATTATTATTATTTTTGAGACAAAGTCTTGCTCTGTCACCCAGGCTGGAGTGCAGTGGCACGATCTCGGCTCACTGCAACCTCCGCCTCCCAGGTTCAAGCGATTCTTCTGCCTCAGCCTCCCAAGTAGCTGGGACTACAGGTGCATGCCACCACGCCCAGCTAACTTTTTGTATTTTTAGTAGAGACAGCGTTTCATCATATTGGCCAGGCTGATCTTGAACTTCTGACCTTGTGATTCGCCCACCTTGGCCTCCCAAAGTGCTGGGATTACAGGGGTGAGCCACCGTGACCAGCCTGAAATTATTTTTAATATGCATGATTAGCAGTCAAATTTTATAACAAAATCTCACCATACTATCTTTCTGTGCTCTCAAACATGATACAGTCCTTCGCAGAATTTAAGTACCTCTAACAGCCCCACCCTC